GTGAAATAATTAAAATTAACTTTTCCTATAATATTTTATTTATTAAGTGGACAAACTTTTATTTAAATGGTATGCACTTTATTTTGAATGTTACATTTTTGAACATTAAGTTGCACTAAAAATGATACACCGTGCACATTGTACACTTTAAAAGTGCATAATAAAAAAAGTCAACACCATGCACTTTAAATGTTTAGTTTAGTGCACTTTTATATATACTTTTTAATATAATTAAAGAGTTGAAGAAAATAAATATTTTAGAAATATATATTGTCACAAAGTAAAATAATATATACTACGTACTACTTTAAAAAAAAGTATACTTTTAAAAAATTACTACTTACTAAAGAGCATTCCATTGGGTAAAAAGAGAGTAGTTCCATAGCGTTGAAGAAAAATAAAAATAATATAATAACACGTCAAAAAATTAAAGGACACTAAACACAAAATAAGAGAAAGAAATAATTAATAAATATATGAAAACTGAAAAGGAAATACTTAATGTACTACGGTACTAACAATTACCAAATGGACATAGTAGTGCCCACAATTCCGGAGGTTAGTTTTAAGGCTAATTAATGCATAGATGAAATGACTAAAAGGCCATTTAGACATGTACACGGTAGTTTGAAAAACATTGTTAATCCAATGGTTGTGATCTATTCTTTTTTGCTCTCCTAAGATTAAGTTCTCACATGAACCTAAATCTATATATATATATATATATATATATATATATATATATATATATATAGGGAGTGGTTTCAATGAGAACACTCCTTATTGTGAGAAATAAGAACAAATCTTAACATACATCTTAGTAAATTAAAGGCCTAAAAAAAGAGATGCACGGAGATATGGTGGAAGTGCAAGCATTTAATAAATAACCCTTCATTCTCCAATTCAACCATAAGTTAAAAGAAGGGCACTACAGTAATTTAAAAAAAACTTTAATGTATATCGATTGGAGGGTGTCATTTCCCTAAAAAGTAGGAAAACATAAATACTTAAATCATATAAAATGTTTTAGTTTAACAATTGATTTAACTTTTTAAATTATAATCTGATTTTAACAAAAATTATATCAAATTAAATAATTTTTTTATCTTTCATATGACACCAATATGTCATATATTATTTTATTTTAAAAAATAAGTATAATATGTATACAATAAACCACAAAAACATCTTCAGCTACCGCATACACAAGAATATGTATCTGACACACAACCACTACTATCTAATACACAAGAACCAGAATCTAACACACAATACGAATAAGAAAAACGAAAACAAGTATCTAAAGCACAAAATCCATATCTAATGCACAAATAACAATATCTGACACACAAAATTAAAAACTAATTAATATCTAATGCATACGAATTTCACACAACTTAAAACTAATATATAACATACAAGAATCAATATATAGTGCAAAATACGAATATACACCCACGAATCGGTATCTAACACAATATATGTATGTGTGTGTGTATGTATATATATATATATATATATATATATATATATATATATATATATATATAGAGAGAGAGAGAGAGAGAGAGAGAGAGGAAAGATCAGGTGAGAAGTGCCCCTTAAAATGAGAAGTGAGAAGTAATCTCCGTTCTTGGATTTGCATCTGATCTTGCAACGCAGTAAACTTATAGACTAAATATAGGAACTTATAACCAATAAATCATAACTTATAAAGCTCTCCATAATAATTACGAAAATGCCACCGCGTCAATTTTTTTTCCAGATTTCCGTAGTTATTTTTTTGCAGTGGCACATTCGTAATTATTTCGAGGGGTTTATAAGTTATGATTTATTGATTAAAAGTTTCTATATTTAGTCTATAAGTTTAACTTCGTAGTTCTCAGCCTAAGAACACTTCTCACTTTATGTTTTACACGATGCATAAGCGAATTGCATAAGTAATGTTCAAAAGTCACAAATGCACAAAAAAGGTGCAAAGCTATTCAATGAAACGCGTCGTTGAAAATTTGCAAGATATTCTAATAAAAAGTGCACGAGAGATGCTAGTTGAAAATTTGATACATTTATACATTATGCATTTTTAATAAATTACGTAGTAATAAAAATCAAATAAATTTACTCTTTATATGCTCAGGTGCAAGATTTAGTTTTATAGTGCAACTTTATTTTTTACACTGTGCACTGGCAAATTAAATATGCTGTTCAAAGTGCACAAATGCAAGATAAAGGTGCAAAGCAATTCAATGAAAAGTGACATTCAAAAAGGTGCAATATATTTTAATAAAAAGTGCATGAGAGATTCTAGTTGAGAAATGGGTACATTTATATGTTATGCGTTTTAATAAATTATTAAAAATCAAATATGGTCATGGTGAAAAATAAAAAATGGTGCTGAATTTGTAATTTCAAATATCACTTTTTATATAATTTTGTTGCACCCATCTCACACATTTGTGCATTTTAAAGGTCATATTTGTACATGCAAAAAAGTCATTATATATACAAGATGCATATATTATATAATAAATAATTTATATTTGAATTACTAATCAATTATACGTAGTGTTTGTGAGCATTTTAAATAACTAACAATGTTTTAATGGAAATTATAACTTTTTGGACTTTTAAGGTTTGTTGCACTCAATGAATTGAATAATATGGAAAGTATAAAATTTAAAACAACCGTATGTAGCATTTGATAAATGATAGGCATCAATTAAAAATTGGTGGTGTTTTGCTTTTACTCTAATGCCCCTACGTGACTATTAATTTCAATTAAAATGAGTAGACTTAATTACTTTCCTTTTCCTATCCCAAATTACTAGGTAACGGTGCATTCATCTTAGTCCATCCGATTGAGATTATTGAAGGTTAGATTTCATTCTTATTTCTCTCCTAAGGCTTCTTTCTCACCTGAACCATCCCATATATATATATATATATATATATATATATATATATATATATATATATATATATATATATATATATTGCCAACAAATTGTCGATCCTAAAGAAGGCCAGGGGATCACAATCATCACATCAGGGCTGGGAAGATAGACGGGTCCAATGTGATGTACCGGCGATTTTCCAGTGCAAGGAAGGAACTTCAGTGGGCCGGATGTATCAATCTATTAACCTATGACATAAGCTAAGCCCATTGGTCAATCAGGGGATCACATGTGAAGGTAGACGGGTCCAATGTGATGTACCGGCGATTTTCCGGTGCAAGGAACTAAGGAAGGAACTCCGGTGGGCCGGATGTATCAATCTTATGAGCCTAGACAACTTCAACTAGGCTTATATCAAAACTCCAGTAATAATTACGGGGTATTGTTGTTGACATGGAGTACATGATAACTTGTACCTCGATGACAAGAATGAAACAATATCTACATTGGTCACTAGGACTGGTGCTTTTTAGGAGTACATATAAAGATACTTCATCTTTCGAAGTGGTCATCTACCACATTTTTACGTATCATAGACTCATTAGCAAAAGTTATTTCATTATTCTCCACAAAAAATTCTATTCTAGGAGTATGCATAGTTGGAGTATGTGACTTTGTTACTTTCTTGAGTCTCTGGAAGCATTAGACAATTGGCTTACATCATTTTGTAAATGAATAATCTTTTGAATTTCTTGTTCATATGCATTTGTGCATGAATCAAGGTAAGATAAATTTGTTGCCTTTGAGGTAATATCTTTCATATGTGGGCTCATTTCTTTATTATCCCCCTAAGGTTGGGAATATTATCTCATTAAAATGACAGTCACTGAACCGTGCAGTGAATGAATCACGAGTCATATATTCTGGATAGTTTATAATTGCGGAGGATTTAAAACCAACATAAATTCTCAACCTTGTGTGTGGATCCTTTTTTGTACGATAAGGTAGAGCAATTGGTACACATACAGCACAATCAAATTTTTTTATGTGCGATATATTTGGTTATTTACCAGATACTAATTGCAATGGAGAATATTTATGATATGAAGTTAGCCTAAGCCGAATTAAACTTGTAGCATGCAATATAGCATATCCTCATGTAGATGATGATAATATGAAATTCATCAATATTGGTCTAGCAATTAATTGAAATCATTTAATTAAGGATCCAAAAAGACAATTTTTTGTGTGCACATGGGAACGAGATGTTTCACATCAATTTCAATTGACATACAATAATCATTAAAAGATTGAGATGTAAAATTCTCCAGCATCATCAAGTCGGATTTTCTTTATATTGAATATCCGAAAATTGTGACCTCAAAAGTATGAATTGAGTAAGCAGATTTGCAAATGCAAAAATTCTAGTCAATAAAAGACTAACATATGACTAACATGTTGATGCATTAATGAACACCGTAAAATATCGAAAGGATCCACATGGATGAGCAATCAGCCCACAAATATCTCCTTGAAATTTTGCTAAAAATGCAGGAGATTCTACTCCAATTTTATTTAAAGATGGCCTGATGATTTATTTGACAAGAGAACACACAACACATGAAAAATCACTTGATTGTGGAATCTTGACATTCTTTAACGAATGTGCAAGTGATTTTTCAATAACTTTGTGCATCATAGCACTGCCCGGATGACCTTAACAGTCATGCCACAATACAAAGGAATTGTGACCATTAATCTTCACGACATATCACATCTATCTTAATTGCATATAGCTTGGGAAATATGCTGGCATTTTTCACAAATGTATTTTTTGTCAGATCTATTTGTCGTTAGACATAAATATTCCTTTTGATTTTCAGATATGGTTTCAATATAATAACCATTTAGACGCACATTTTTAAAACTAAAAGAAATTTATGTGATTTACTGGAGTATAATGCATCCTTTATTATTAATTTTGTCCCTTTTGGGAGAATCACACATGTCATTCCAGACCCTTGAATGAGTTTAGCAACACCTGAGATTGTATTGACATTAGTTTAATGTCATATGAGAAAAATAATCTTTATTTCTGATAATGGTGTGCATTGTTCCACTTTCTATTAAACATTATTCAATGTCACTTGGAAGAATATAGCTTAACTCCTTATCTGCGGGAAGATGATGATTTCAAGGATTTGAAGAAAATCTGTGCTAATAGCGTGTTATGAAATGGAATGGAATAAGCAGAAAAGTTGGGAGAGAAAGTAAATATTAAGTATAATATTGATAGAGTTGTTAATGTTGTGTTAATTACAATGGGAGAAGACTCATATGTATATATAGAAGAAAATGTGAGCTCATTCCAATTTTGAAAACGTAAGTTGAAAATTTGTAGTCACAATTTAAACTTAATAAAGAAAATATGCTTACAAAATTTTATCAAAAAACTCGGAAACACCTCAAGCGAGTTTGACTGGACATGACTTATAGTCAGGCACGCCTGACGAGATATGCTCTCTAGTATTCAATCTTACATGGAATTTTAGCGCCATGTGTATTGCCACATTGGCAATTTCACATGGAAACTCGTTAACGGCCTATTATGCTGCTTTGAGCGTTTTTAATGGGTTTTATTCTTGTATTAAGACTAAAAACAGGTCTTAGGATGTTTTCTTTTGGACTATTTTCAGTCCCAGACCAGACCAGATCAGATCAGACCAGACTTAAACAGACCAGACTTAAACAGACCAGACCAGACTAGACTTGGATAATTATAAAATACACAGAGACCAGACGTTTACCAGACCAGACCAGACTAGACTTAAACAGACCAGACCAGATCAGACCAGACCAACAAATTTCAGTCCAAAAGAAAACATCCTTTGAGAACAAAACACATTTACTCCTACCTTTAAATTTAATCCATGTTGACACGTTGTACTCCTATTATGAGTAATCCCTTTAAAATTTATATTTCTTGTCGATGGCATTAGTACCAAACACAGCCTTTATCTTCCCCTCTTTTCACACAGTAGTACAGTACTGATTTGGCTGCTAGATAATTTTTTTGGACTACCTATAGGAGAAAATGTGATAACTTCCACCTCATTTGCAATATAAAAAGCTGCTAATAGTGGATTGTGTGAGAATGTGAGATCTTGAAGAAATACCAGAGCCAATTGCTTAAGCAATTCAAAGGGAACAACACGACTGAACATGACAGTTATCAATAGTTTTGATTTGGTTCCATTTATATACAAGCTGTGACACACACACAAAACATTACCTCAACAGAATAAGACAATTGCCGGAACTGGGATTGAGATTTGTGCTCACCCGTACAGAACAAAGTGCTAGGAAAAATGACTAAGAATACTTGTTGTGTAGTGTAATGTTGTAAATTTGTAATGAGATCCATGACCAAACCAGCGAAATAACATGTGTTAAAGAAAATAAGACTTTAACTCATTTATCGGAATGTGGAGATAATACCCAGTTCCCTTCCCACACAGTGCTATTTTTTTTTTTTTTTTTTTTGGGGGGGGGGGGGGGCATGGTTTTGAGACAAAATTATCCTAAACGTAAATAATTTATGAAGTACAAACCATGTGGGTAGGCATATATAGCCTTTCAATAATAAGAAACATGTGCATGCCATTGAGTATGAACTCGTTGCTTTTGTCTAAAATCTCACCAATGCCATTACTATAGATCACACAAGGCTTTAAACATTTGTTCTTTGATCATAAAAGAAATGCCATTCTTTTCGTGTGTGTGGGGGGGGGGGGGGGAATAAAAAAAAACTTTTGCGATAAACTTTGCAGAATTAAAGGCCACATATGACATATCCAAAGACTAAAGCGTATCGTAATGATAAAGTGTGTCTTTGATTGATGCAAAAGTATGTGGCAGAATGGGTAGTGCAGCTTTTATTCAACACGAAGGCTACGTGTATTAGCAGCTTTTGCTTTGTTCTGCTGCTCATCATCATCATAAAAAGCCAGGGAATAACTGGCTTTTGATTTATGTAGCTCAAATAGATTTTATCAGAAAATTGGATAGATTCAACCATCTCATCCAAATCACCATTACCAAATGGACCCTGAATTTACCTTGTCAAAAATGTTAATTCAAGAGAGACCAACAACTCTTCCAGTGGTAGTGTCAAGGTCAATCTCATAGAAGCAAGGCCTTGTAGGGAGCCCGGGCATGGTACTCATTGTCCCAACTAATGGATAGATGAATCCCGCCCCTATGCTCGCCCTTATGTCTCTGATTGGAAGAACAAACCCACTTGGAGCTCCTTTTTCTTTAGCATCATGTGAAAATGAATACTGTGTTTTGGCCATGCAAATTGGGAGGCTGGAAAACCCTTGCTTATTGTACATCTCTATCTGTTTTTCAGCCTGGTTTGCATAGATACCAAAAAGCTTACATATAAAATTTAAAAATAAAAAATAAAAGCAGCCAATAGCAACGTGATCAGACAAAATTTCACTTTTGGGTCCTTTCAATATGTCATTTTTCCATTTTTGGTTATTCCCTTAAATATTTACCCATTTTGTATTCTAACTATAAAAAAGTTTCCATTGTTGGTCTTCTCTTTCATGGTTCCAGACAGTTGAACGCCAATTTGATAGATAAAAAGATGAAAATCTTTGTGCCAACAGTGCAATGAATCAATAATGTGACTGGAAATAAAACTCAAACAAAAACAGAAAATATTAAGAATAGATAATGAATTTCAACTATTAAAGTTCACGATTTGATAGATTATGGTCCCAATGACTAAATTCCCAACTAAAAGGGAGAAGAAATGGTGTTAAGGCGCTAAGTAAATATATTTATCATCAAACCTCAGCATAATATTCACATAACCGAAATTCTAAGAGAGCTGAAATAATAAAACTTTAAATAGTTAGTATAAAAAGTAAAAACTAGTTGATTTTAAAACGATGACCAAAAGTAGAACTTCTTGTGACTAAAAGCAATTGACAGCAATACATGGCACAAATGCACAACGCAGCACAAGAAGGGTCCCAAAAGAATAAAGCTTTTTGTGATGCCGTTTTTTATTATTACAAAATGACCTCTTGGTGACCAACTCGGAAGAGAAAAGGGTAACAAATTACATAAAACAATGTCAATCTAAATTACCATACATATGACAATATTTACCATTTAGGAAGGTGAAGCTCTTGATTTTGTCACACACTGCATATTAAGATAATTAGGGGGGTTTCTAAGTGGGTATTAACCCCACTGTCCCCACTCATTGTTCCAAAATTTGTTCAGATCCCTCGGACATAGTTAGAATGAATATTTAAATGGTAAATTGGTATTTACCTGTTCAGAGTAGTCAACACCACTAGCGCCATATGACTTTGCTATTGCCTCAATTTTATCTTTGATACCTATATCCAGAGGGTACAGGAATTTGAAAGGTTGCGAAACATTTTTGCATGCCTTTTCAACTGCAATGCCTAGGTCAACCTAAGTGTCACAAAAAAGATATAGCTAGCAGTTAACAAATTATAGTAAGCCATGATGTAACATGCTGGAATTAGGAGTAACACTAGCTGGTGCAAACATTTTTTTCTCTTCTGGACAAGCAACTATCAGGTGATTTCCACTTTTGGTCCTCCCGAATTACTTCTTCCCATTGTTGGTGTGCGACTATCGATTATTTAGCAATTTTGGTCTTTTCCAGTCACTTTTGCATGAAATGTGCCAAAGAAGTGGTCAGAAAGACTAAAAATCAAAGAGATGCCATAACACTGCACCAAAGGTGGGTGAGGGGGGGGGGGGGGGGTCCGGACCAAAAGTAGAAATCGCCTAAAAGACATGTGGGACCAAGATGAGAAAATTTTCCTGGTTAAAATTCAATGAACAAACAGAGAGAAAATGCATCTCTCCTGTAAGGGAACTAACCGCTCCTTTCCCACCATGCGCATGATGGGTACAAATTACAGCATCAAACGCCCCTGCCGCCATTGAAGCCTTCCTAACTTCATTCAATTCCGCTTCAGTATCTGTTGAGAATGCATTCACAGCCACAACAACATTTACACCATAAGCTTTTGTGTTAGAAATATGTTTGGCAAGATTGACACATCCCGCCTCAACAAGTGTAACATTCTCGCTCACATAAGCACGGTCGAGAGGCTTTCCCGCTGCCACTTCTGGCCCACCACCATGCATCTTGAGGGCCCTCACCGTTGCAACAATGATAGCACATTGAGGTTTCAAGCCACTATATCTACACTTTATGTTCATAAACTTCTCTGTCCCGATATCGGAACCGAATCCTGCCTCGGTCACCACGAAACCTCCGGGTCCTACGAGCTTCAATGCAATCTTATCGGCAACTATGGATGAGTTCCCATGCGCAATATTTGCAAACGGCCCCGCGTGGACAAGGACAGGTGTACCCTCGAGAGTCTGCATGAGGGTGGGGTTGATTGCATCTTTCATCAAGACCGTCAAAGCACCCCCGACGCCGAGATCATCTGCTGTGATAGGATAGCCGGCCTTGCTGTTCCCAATTACCATTTTACCCAGCCTTTCCCTCATATCGGCTAGGGACGTCGTGAGTGCTAAAACTGCCATTACTTCACTAGCTACAGAAATATCAAACCCTGTCTCTCTCACCATACCCTTTTCTTCGGGACCCTGCCCAATTGTAATCTTTCTTAAGAAGCGGTCATTAACATCCATAACTCTCCTCCATGTTATGGATGAAGGATCAATGTCCAATCTCGAAAACTTTGTGACTTCTTCTGAGGTAAGCTCGTCGGGATTAGTCTTGTCAATGCCGAGTGTCTTCAAACGCCTAAGCATGACATCGCTGAATCTTCGGTTTCCATTCTTGTCGGGGGGACATAACCGGTTGAAAAGTGCTTTGTCGGACTGGGTCGATTCATGGAAGATCCTGGTATCAATAGCAGCTGCTAAAAGGTTGTTTGATGCGGTTATTGCATGGATATCCCCTGTTAAGTGAAGGTTGAACTCGTCCATTGGAATCACTTGGCTATAGCCACCACCTGCTGCCCCGCCCTTGATTCCAAAAGTTGGTCCTTGTGATGGTTGGCGGAGGCACGTCACAACCTGGGATCACAGCAAGGAGACAAATGGAGGAGACAATATGTACATATCCTTCCCTTATATGTGAAGTAGATTATCTCACGCACAACACATGAATAGTACTACCTCCATCTTACTAAGAAAAGTGAGTTTGTGTGGTTGATATTGAATTGATAAAATAAGAATAAAGTGGGAATTATTTAGAACCACACAAATTTTACCGAATTTGGTATGAGACAATCTTAGTGGAACGGACCAAAAGGGAAAGATGAGACAATCTTAGCGGGACGGAGGGAGTAATTTAAAAGGTATACTAACACCGAGGCTCCTACATGATAAGGGCCAGTTTAGATCTCGAAATATATTAGGGAAGGAAAATAGGAATTTTGGAAGAAAAGATAAAGTGTGGGTAGGAACAAAACAATGATTTGAACTCAATTAATCAGTTTTTATATATTTGTTCAAATTCTATATATTTATATTATATAAAGGCACAAGAAATCTAAATAGAAGCAAAATTTTATAAGCTTTTAAAAAAATTAGATTTTTGTTCATATTTATCTATGCACAGTCAAACGTTAAAAACAATTTTCCTTCGCTCTTTTTTGTGTTCCCTGCCATTATCCAAATTCCAAACATAGCCTAAGGGGGGTTCATGGAAGGGTTTATCTGGGTCACATTTATCTTGTTTTTGCAAGGAGATGGATTCAAAGCCTCCATGACAACAATTTACAGAGGTTTAGTTCTTTAAATAGTCCTCATATATATTGATGGCAGCTGTATCCTGAATGTAAAAAATACCAAACCACAATATTTAAAAATAAAAACTGTTTTTCACTCTGCAAGACTTATGGGCAGGCTAACACTCTCAAGATCCGAGACCACAACAAACAATAGCAATATAATATGTTTCAGTTTTTACTCATTGTATAATAATGTTTCTATGCAAGTATAATGTGGCAAATCACGAAGTACCTAACATTTCTGTGTGTTAAAAAATATTACCAAGTAAAGACTGTTATATGTTAAAGGGAGACAATGAGGTCATACAACATACCTTTTTATCAAGAAAAGCACCCAATGCTTGACAAAGGCCAACGGTAGTAGTGGACTTTCCTTCTCCAAGAGGGGTTGGAGTTATCCCACCAACTACCACATAATACCCATCTTGACCTCCTCCAATCGAATCAAGGGCAGACAAAAGGACCTACAACTTCCCACAACATCAATTATTTCTCTCAAATATATGCTTAGGAATTGCAAATATGATGGGAAACTTATGACTCGCTCCACCCCAAATAAACAGTCCTACGTGAAGACTAATTTCAAGTCGTTAAAAGAGCCCTATTTGAACTGAAGAACCTAACTTCCATTATCTTTGAAGCATTTTTTTAAATGCCCTAACACCAAACAAGTTAACTATGTTACGTACTTACATTTAGTTAACAAGCAAATAAGTTCGAAGACATAGCTCAAATTATTATTTGGATGAATGACATACACGTTTCAAAAATTTCTGCCACTCTGTCTTTATTTATGGTTGATAGTAGACGTGGACCTGGAAAATTGGGACAGTCACAATGCCTTCGATTTACGATTGCTGAGTGGGTCTGGGAACATTTGGGCTACCCTGTGGAGTTGGGGTTGGTTGGTTGGCTGGACCAACCTCTAGCGGAACAACACAAGTGCCAAGACAGCGTCACGGTCTCTGTTCAGAGCTCTTCTGAGCTTGGCATGTTTCCTTACCTAACTATCCATGAATCACGGAGAAGCCTTTGCGCTTTTAGTTAGTTACTCTAGACTAGCAGTGAGGGATGGACCACACCATAATTAGGCCAATGGATCACACGCTCACCATTTAGGTCAATACCTATCCACCCATCAGTGGAGCAGGGTATTCCTACTTCTTTCTATTCAATTACATTCTCACTCCAGATATGTTTTCCTACCCATTTCCCAAACGACCGTCAATAGCATTTGTGTACCACTTGGTTTATACAGTATGTATTAATGAGTAGATCGGTACTTGATCAAAGAAAGAAAAAATACACTCCCCCCATAATACAAGCACCCGTAAGCACAACGGTAAAAATGCAGCAAAGGGTGTGAGCCAGGGCCGGCCCTGGGCATGTCTGCCAAGTGCGACCGCACAGGGCCCGGATTTTTGAAGGGCCCAAAAAAAAATTTTAATATTATACCCCAGCCCAAAATCCCCTGTGTAAATCTAAATATGCTTGAAAAATATCTCTTTTTAAATAAATTGTAAGTTATTAATGACTATTTTTATTATTATGTTTATTCGTAAGTTGTATTTTAAGACAATTTGCTTGCATTGCAACTTGAAAAAAGGCCCAAATTTTATTCCCGCACAGGGTCTACATTTCTTTGGGACCGGCCCTGGTGTGAGCCTCATCTTCATGATAAAACCAAATTCTAAGGATATACTCAGGTCCCGAAATTTTATTCCTAGTTTAACTTTTGAAATGATTACTAAGGATATGAAATGGTAAGATTATGGTTGACTAGAGAAGAAGAAAGAGAAGCATGACTAGCCTCACAAATGTTTCCTAAACGGGAGAACATTCTGGACGCCCCAAAGAGTAATACAAGAAGAAAGTATGGGTTAAAAAGCAGCGAAAAACAGGTAAGGGGGGGGGGGGGGGGGGGGATTCAATACAGAGAAACGCGATTCACCTTGGCTTTATACTTGCCGTAGAGATCGTAGTGTTCTGTGGCGAGATTGAGTTCCTGGGCAATCTCAGAGATATGAAGAGGCTCCACAGAGTTTGCAATATCTATATCTGCCGGAACAGGCGAAACCACTTGCAAATTCCTCGTCGTCTTCCCCATCTATATATTATGTCTTGGGTTTCCTTCCCCTCAATCTGTGAATGTTGAGCTCCGAGTTTCAGACGGTCTATTGATTGATTGGCGGAATTTTGAGGGATTGAAAAGAAACATGAAGATAGCTCCAAGTACGATTCGAATTGTTTATAATCAATCAGTCAGTAGGAAGAACAGACAAACGGTGATATGATTGGCAGCTGAGAAGGTGAATGGGAAAGAAAGATAGATCCGGTGAGTTACCAACGGTCAGCCGGGAGGAAAGAGTAAAAATAAATATATTACGGAATAAAAATAGCGAAAAACTACCAACAAAAACAATGGAGATGCGGGGTATCGATCCCCGTACCTCTCGCATGCTAAGCGAGCGCTCTACCATCTGAGCTACATCCCCTACTCAATCCAAACATGCTGGGAAGCCTACTAGATGTTTACAATTAATGCTCTTGACTAACTCACTAACCCATAATTTTTTTATTTAATACTTCAAAAAAAATATTTTAGTAATTCGTGTGTTATATTTGAGATTTAAATATATGGGGTTTTGGACATGAATATTAGTGAACAATTGGTATTGGATAAAAATGTGACCTTTTTTCTTAGTTCACAAAAAATGTGACTCATAATTCCATTCTTTACTCAATTATCCTTCTTAAGTTTTAGGCGCCGTACTGGTGCAATGAAAACCTTAGAAATGCAGACTTGCACACCATGGACTATGGAGTATGGATGGCTGGTGCTTTTTTTAATTGAATACTCTTTTTGTACTTGGTACAATAGCTTTATTTCTATAATATTATTTTAATGTTTTAAATTATTTTAAAAGATGAGTATTAGGATATGAAAATTAAGTGACAACTATCCCAGACTCCCAGTGACCAACGTTCCAGTTATTACTGCTTCAATGATCACTGTCTCAGTTACTGCTATCGATCAAGTGACATCCGTCGCAATTACTAATATCGTTAAGTGATATCGTTTCGATTACTACCACTCAAAGATGACCGTCCCGGTTACTATTATCGCTCCGGTGACATCGTTTCAGTTGCTACCGCTCAAGTAACCACTATCTCAGTTACTATTGCCACTCCAATGAGATCTCAACCAATTATAGTTACTAGACACGCCAATTACAGTTACAATTACTACTGCTCAAATGATCAAGCGACAACCGTCCCAATTATTAATATCGCTCAAGTGACATCGTTTCAATTACTACCACTCGAATATGACCATCCCAGTTACTATAACTGCTCGAGTGACATCATTTGAGCTACTACCGCTCAAGTAATCACTATCTCAGTTACTATTGCCTCTCCAGTGACATCTCCACCGAACCCCGAACCCTGAACCCTGAACCTTGAACCCTGAACCCTGACCCTACCTCGACCCTACCCTATTGTGACCACCACACTTACTGCCGATGAAACTAATGCCACCTCGGCGGTGGCCGACAGTGCACTGTCGGTGACCATCCGCACCCCTTGCCCCTAACCCTCCACAGAATCTCCCTTTCCAGCCCATCCTCTCTCCAGCGGGACTGCAACCCCCGACCACCGCCTCCCCTGCCACTGCACCACACCCCCAGACCCACCCCATGCCCCACCAGTCCACCCCAACCCCTCCCCTTCCCCCACCAGTCCAGCCCCTCCCCCTGCCCCACTAGTCCACACCCTGTCCCACAAGCCCACCCCTATTAGACTCCACTTGTCCCAGCCTACCCCAACCCACAGCTTCACCTTCAGAACCAAGCAGCCATCACCTAGCCTCACCCTCAGATAGCAGACACCGACCCCAACCCTCAGCCCACATCTTCCAATCCTAGGACTCAAGCGCACCACTGGAACTGTAGTTGCGATCTCTCTGTTGACCGACGTACTCAACTCCGTCGGTCGCCGCACTATCGCTCGCCTTGCCTCGTTATCTTCATATCCGAATATTTCTTTTTTCTTTTTTTGCAAGGAGATCCGAAGATTTCTGACCTCGTCCATCAACACAAAAGGAGGTGTTTACTTCGCTGCTAAAGTCACAGTTAGGTTAGTAAGACAGGTGAAGTAAACACGCACGCTACTTAAAAAGCTGCTTACTAACCGAAAGAGCTGCTTAAAGTGTCGCTTACTAAGCATACCACCTGTCATGTATTAATTAAGCGGTACTTTAAGCATTTTTTGTTTCCGAATTTATCCATTGTCCTTACCCTATTGTTACCCCCTCTACCCGCTACCCACACCCCGCCCCAACCCTACTACCTAGACCCGACCCCACCCTACCCACTACCTCCATCCTCGTACTTTACCCGTTACCACTATCCTACCTACCCTACCCCCTATCACTTGCCCCTAGGCCCACCCTGATCTTGCCCCCACCCTACCGCCATCCTAACCCTACCCCCTTACCGTACCTTACCCCGACCCCACCCTACACTACCCTTACCTTGACCCACCCCACCCTCCCCCTACCACAACCCCACCCTATCGCCATCCTACCCCTACCCCCCTTATCCTACCTTACCATGACCCCGACCCCACGCTACCTTACCCCGACCCACCCCCCTACCACGGCCCCCACCCCTCTCGCCATCTACCCCTACCCCTACCTTACCCCGACCCCACCCTACCCCACCCCTACCCTACCACATGCTCTTACCTCGGCCCCACCTTGATACCGACCCCACCCTACCACCATCCTACCCTACCCCCTTACCCTACCTTACCCTGACCCGACCCCACCGTACCCTAGTACCCCAGTCCTACCCCTACCCTACCTTACCCCGACCCCACCCTTACGCCTAACCACGACCCTACCCCACTCCCTACCACTTGCCCCTAGGCCCCACCCCAACCCCAACCCTATCCCTTACCACCCTACCCCACCCCTACCATACCCCCCACCACATGCCCCCACCTCGGCCTCACCTCAATCTCGACCCCACCCTACCCCCACCATCCACCCTTATCGTGGTAAGGGTAGGATAGGGGTCAAAGGTTTGGAATTAGGGGTAGGGTGTAGGGTAGGGGTAGTGGTAAGGGTGGGGGTACGTGGGGATATAAGGCGGGGGTATAGGGCTGGGGTAGGGTTTAGGGGTATGGGTACACATACGAGGTGACCCCACATATTATATTGTATACTTTGTGTTCATGGATGTTTGTGCGTCTATATATGTATAGGGTTATTTTGGACATTTTAATGTTAAACGGTGTTTTAAACCTTGTGAAGTAAACACGATCTTATAACATTGCTTATTTTATATGTCGCTTATTAACACGGGTCTTTGATGGGGTATATGGCCCAGGACCCCCGGCCCACAGACTCAAATTCCTCCTACCCAGGCCCATCAAGCCCAATGTGCGCGCAAAGCCCTAATATGGCGGCCCAAGTATGAAGAAGCTCACGGTGCCCATGAAGGTGCCTTCGACCCTATAGCCGAGGGCAACTAGATTTTGGCATACAAAGCTACTGGGAGAAAAAGGCAGAAAATAGGAGCCTTCGGCTCCGAGGAACCCTCGGCACATGGATAGCCTTCGGCCATAGGGTAGGCCTTCGGCTACCGCACACTCAGCGAAGATTCCTTTTGGAGACAGGCAACCACCGCATTCAATGTGGCGTCACGTCCAACCACCGCATTTAATGCGGTGCACATGCAAATGCTGGTGCCCACCCCCGACTGAGGTGACCCTCGACCGTTAGATTAGTGACGCGTGTACGCGCTTAGCACTTATGGCAGCTATAAATAGCAGCCTCTTTCCTCATTGTAAAGGATCCCAACATCTCGAGTTCATTTAAAATATCTGACTCTCTCTCTTAGAAGTTGTTCTGTTCGTCTTATTCTTATTACTTATTGCTTATTCTTATTTTATTCAGATCAGATCACAAAAATTCAGATCATATCATATCAGATCAGAATCATTCAGATCAGATCAGAAAGATTCAGATCAGATCAGAAAGATTCAGATCAGAAGCATTGAGATCAGATCAGAAAATTTCAAACATGATTTATCACTTTTAATATTATAAAATAATAATAATAATAATAACAACAACAACAACAATAATTATTATTACGATTATTAATATTATGATTATTATTGAGGTGATTATTATTATTAATATTACTATTATTACTATTATTATTATTATTATTATTATTATTATTATTATTGCCGTTGTTATTATTATTGTTTTTGTTGATGTTATTATTATTGTTATTATTTTTATTATTGCTATTACTGCTATTATTAGTTATTACTATTACCATTACTATTATTACCGTTTTTACTATTATAATTATTATTTTTAGAGAATATTACCTGAAATAGGACTAAAACGGTTTGAAAATTCCAAAATAGGACTGTCATGTTTTTATTCCCAAAATAGGACTAATTATTGTCATGTTTTGGCAGTACCAGACTTCAAACATGACAGTATTTTCCAAACTTGAAGGTAATTACTCCTATTTTGAGAATAAAAAACATGACAGTCCTATTTTGGAATTTTCAAACTATTTTAGTCCTATTTCGGGAACTTTCCCTTATTTTTATTAGCTTTATGATTATTATTATTATTATTATTGTTGTTGTTGTTGTTGTTGTTGTTATTACTCCATATAATAATAATAATAATAATAATAATAATAATAATAATAATAATTATTATTATTATTATTATTATTATTATTATTATTATTATACAGAGTAATTATAAATATAATTACAATTATAATTATAGCTATAATTATAATCAGTGTAGTAGGTATAATTTTTTATAACTTTAATTATAATTATAATTGTGATTATAATTATAATTAAATAGTTTTAGAATTATGACTATAATTATAATTATATTTAAATTATATTTATAATTACAATTATAATTATAATAATTATAATTATAATTAGAGAAATATTTAGATCAGATCAGAAGGATTCAGATCAGATCAGAAAGATTCAGATCAGATCAGACCAGATCAGAAAGATTCAGATCAGATCAGAAAGATTCAGATCAGATCAGATCAGAAAAATTCAGATCAGATCAGATCATATCAGAACTTAATAAATTCAGATCAGAAACATTCAGATCAAATGAAAAGAACATCTTCTTACTTGCTTGCTCTGACTTCTCTCGAGGTTAATTATTCCCCGCCATAACCCCTCGGATAAGCTACCCCCGGGTACACTATACATTAGTCTTAATAAGCACTGTTTAGTAACCCGTGAAGTAAACATGTCCCAAGAGTCCG